TTGTTAGTGGGAGAACCTCCACAGAGTCAACCCCTAACTTGGTTGACCCTCTGGAGGTCCCTCCACCGCGTCCACGTATTCGGAGTTCGGAACGTACTTGTACAGAACAAAAAACGATACTTTATGTATACTTAGTAGAAATCACAAGGTCAACAACTAACCAAAAACATTAGTTTCTGTGGACCCGGTTGGACTTTATGTAAACTTGCTAGAAATCACAAAGTCAACAACTAACCAAACACAATAGTTTCTGTGGACCCGGTGGGAGAGCCTCCACAGAGTCAACCCCTCACTTGGTTGACCCTCTGGAGGCCACTCCACCGGGCCCACCTATTCGGAGTTCGGAACGTACTTGCACAGAACAAAAAACGATATTTTATGTATACTTGGTAGAAATCACAAGGTCAACAACTAACCAAAAACATTAGTTTCTGTGGACCCGGTTGGGCTTTATGTAAACTTGCTAGAAATCACAAAGGCAACAACTAACCAAAAACAATAGTTTCTGTGGATCCGGTGGGAGAGCCTCCACAGAGTCAACCCCTCACTTGGTTGACCCTTTGGAGGCCCCTCCACCGGGTCCACGTATTCGGAGTTCGGAACGTCATTGTACAGAACAAAAAACGATACTTTATGTAGTCGTGGCGGAAGCGCCTCCACAGCGTCAACAACTAGCTCAGTCGACTCCCTGGAGGCCCGTCCAACGAGTCCGCGTGCTGACAACACGGTATACCTACAAGAATAACGATTCACCAACAACAAGCACACAAACATGCCAGCTGCTTGGGTGAGCTTTTCAAACTCCAAAAGTTTCTTCCCAACCGATTCTTGTCCAAAATGCCTACCTTATACATCTAACGTTAGAAATCGGCAAACTCTTCAACGCAATTTCCACGAAGTCATGAATCCGCTTGTTGATCTTCGCAATTGAACGTAAAGTTTAACCGGGGTGGGAGTTTAATATTCCCTAATACCCTTGTTGATCTTCCCAATTGAATGCAAAGTTTAACGGGGGTGGGAGTTTAATATTCCCTAATACCCTTGTTGATCTTCCCAATTCAATGTAAAGTTTAACAGGGGTGGGAGTTTAATATTCCCTAATACCATTGTTGATCTTCCCAATTGAATGTAAAGTGTAACGGGCCTGGGCGTAGTAGTAGTAGTAGTAGTAGTAGCAGTAGCAGAAGTAGTAGTAGCAGTAGGAGTAGTGGTAGTGGTAGTGGTAGTGGTAGTGGTAGTGGTAGTGGTAGTGGTAGTGGTAGTGGTAGTGGTAGTGTTAGTGTTAGTGGTAGTGGTAGTGGTAGTGGTAGTGGTAGTGGTAGTGGTAGTGGTAGTGGTAGTGGTAGTAGTAGTAGTAGTAGTAGCAGTCGTAGTAGTAGAAGGAATAGTAATAGTAATAGTAGTAGTAGTAGTAGCAGTAGTAGTAGTAGTCGTCGTCGTAATAGTAGTAGCCGTAGTAGTAGTAGTAGTAGTAGTAGTAGTCGTCGTCGTCGTCGTCGTCGTCGTCGTCGTCGTCGTCATAGTAGTAGTAGTCGTAGTAGTAGAAGTAGTCGTCGTCGTAGTAGTAGTAGTAGTCGTCGTCGTAGTAGTAGTCCTCATAGTAGTAGTAGTAGACCTCATAGTAGTAGTAGTAGTAGTAGTAGTAGTAGTCCTCTAGTAGTAGTAGTAGTAGTAGTAGTAGTAGTACTAGTACTAGTACTAGTATTAGTAGTAGTACTAGTAGTAGTAGTAGTAGTAGTAGTAGTAGTAGTAGTACTAGTACTAGTACTAGTACTAGTACTAGTACTAGTACTAGTAGTCGTCATAGTAGTAGTAGTAGTCGTAGTAGTAGTAGTAGTAGTCGTCGTCGTCGTCGGCGTGCTTGCGTTACAAACAGTCGCACCTTCTCTTGCCTCTCCCTCCTGTCTTTTCCCCCCTACCTTTCGTCCCCCCCCTCTCAAGTCGTATCAAATCGTGACCACATATATGACATCTGCTTGTAAGGCAATCACCGTGCAATATGTGAATATTGTTGCAATGTCGCTTGAAGAAAGCCGCATCTACATGCTACCAACTGCTGGGTCGATCTGGTTCAGCATTTGCTGATTATGTACCCTGCACAACGAGTGGCGAAGCTCTTTGGTGACTCCGCAGATGCCGGCTCCAGTAGTCATTGGGCATGGCCACCAAACTTTAAAGGTGCGGGCACGGGCTCAGGGCCCCATGTGACTCTCGTGTGGCTAGGGTTTTTGATGGTTTTTGGCTCTTCTGGCCAGTGGTCAAACCGAGATCCATGAAATTCAGGAAATAGGATAAGGCTTATGAAGGCAATTGTCACACACACATGGATATAATACTGTACATACACACACACACACATACATGCGTACATACATACATACATACAGACAGACAGACAGACATACATTACATTACATTACATTACATTACATTACATTACATTACATTACATACATATATATATATTCCAACATGAACTTACAGTAATTATACTTCATTTTGGTAGCTAACGTCGATACTGTGCTGCATAGCTTTGCCCCGCTGAGTTTGGCAGGCAACAGCATGCCGCCAAGCGGCAGGTCACCTGGCTAGGAATTTAGAGCATCTAGGGGCACCTTGGAAAACCTTGGGTGATCTTGGCTCATGGCATAGCATTTCAAGATGAGATAATTTGAGGCGTGCGGCAGTGCGCAAAGTTTCATTTTACACAGTCCATATATATGGTTGTGACTCAATCGTTCTGCCTAGGCACTAAACCGATCTCATGCACGTCATGAGGCTGCTTCCATTGGCCCTTTGCTGAGCACCACATCCATACGCATTCGTCGCATTCAAAGTAACCTAAAACAAGCATGGGTGTTTGTTGAATTTATTGAGCAGTTGACTTTTCAGTTCCTTTACTGCTTCACGACCCAAGGTGCTGCTTTATGTTGGCAGCCGCTCAGAAGTTTGTGAGAGTGCCTGAGCTGCATTTAATGATTCACACCTGTCTCCCCAGAGCAGATACGATGGATATTTGCGTTTGACAAGCTGAACTTCCAAAGCAGCAGCCTCAAAATCTCTCTATATTGGGACCTTCGTTGTGCAAGAGATTGCACCGTCTTCGGTCTTCAGCGGTCTTCATGCAATTGCGTGATCATTCACCAGCCCTCCCCTGTTCAAAGCAGAATCGTAAGAATATTTTTGACAAATCAGATAACATTACGAGTAACATCAGAATCATATCTGACAAATCAGATAGCATGTCCCAACATGTCCCAACATTTTTTGTCGACTTGTGCAAGCAACAAATATTCCAGGTCGTCCCGGTCAAGGGGCAGCTTTGCTGCAGTGCCATGGATGCACAGCCGGGGCAGCCGGGAATCTACCTGAGGGCATTTGAGGGCTTTCGTGAAACAGGGAACAACGACTCAATCACTGGCTGACAGCTGCTGGTGATTCAGCAATGCTGCGCATTTTGTGTGGGCCCTGCTGTGTTCGCACGTTTTGAAGGGGTCTTCTTCCCTGCAGCAAAGGCAGAAATCTATCAAGGAGCTCTTCTACACATCCGTGTCGCTGCAGGAGGGTCTGTAGTTTTCATCTCTACCCTAGTATGTTGAATATTCAATATTCCTGATCTGCATGAAAGACCATATCTGAAATTATTCAAATTGAGGAGGAGCATGATGACAAAAAAAATCCTGTCAAAGATGCTTTGTGCCTTGGCATATTTGGCAGTGTGGCCGCCATCTCATCTCCTTTATGTTGTTTTGAGGCTGACATGTCACAGAACAAGTTCTTGACGCAATTGGCTATTCCCATCTATCTGTAGATATAGATAGATAGATAGATAGATAGATAGACAGACAGACAGACAGATAGATAGATAGATAGAGAGAGAGATAGATAGATAGATAGACAGATAGACAGATAGACAGATAGACAGATAGAGATATAGAGATATAGATAGATAGATAGATAGATCGATAGATAGACAGACGGACAGACAGACAGATAGATAGACAGACAGACAGATAGATAGACAGACAGATAGATAGACAGACAGATAGATAGACAGACATAGACAGACAGACAGACAGACAGACAGACAGATAGACAGACAGACAGACAGATAGATAGATAGACAGACAGACAGATAGATAGATAGATAGACAGACAGACAGATAGACAGACAGACAGACAGATAGATAGACAGAGAGACAGACAGATAGACAGACAGACAGACAGACAGATAGATAGACAGACAGACAGACAGATAGACAGACTGACAGACAGACAGATAGACAGACAGACAGATAGATAGACAGACATACAGACAGATAGATAGATAGACAGACAGGCAGACAGATAGATAGATAGACAGACAGACAGATAGACAGACAGACAGATAGATAGACAGACAGACAGATAGATAGACAGACAGACAGATAGATAGACAGACAGACAGACAGACAGATAGATAGTAGATAGACAGACACACAGACAGATAGATAGATAGACAGACAGACAGACAGATAGACAGACAGACAGACAGATAGATAGACAGACAGACAGACAGATAGATAGATAGACAGACAGACAGATAGATAGATAGATATATATATAACATAGAATAGCAGAGATGTACCTATAAATCATGTACTCTCCACGGGATGGGGTTTGAACGGTGTTTGCGAGTCTGCCATTGCTGACGCAATGAGAATGGGAGACTGTTTTGCAGCAGTTTCAGGCCTGAAGACCTGCTTCAGACGGGGCCTGAGCTTTGATTATGCGTCGCGGAGAGAGTAAGAAGGCTTCAAAAAGTGTTTTTTTCATATACTCTTGGTTGTTTGGGCTAGCTCTCAAGTCAAGGCAAAACTCCTCGGGCTTTGGCAACACAGGCCAGAGACTGTAGCCAAATGTGTGCCCGAGATATCCCGAGATATTTCTTGTCTACTGTGCAGACTGCGACAGATGAAGAGGCAACATCCCAGGGGTGAGTCACTTGACACTTGGCAGGAATGATCACGCATCTTCCATGCGGGGTGGCGATGAAGCTCAATGTACCTTGGCCCGGTATCAGCCCTGATGTGATTTGATGCGTGATCGTGATGGTGTGGTCCAAGCTTGCTTGCTCCAAAGGCGTCGTTCAGCTTGGACGCCTCTTGCCCAGCAGCGTGTCCACTCCTTGCAGATCCCACCAGCAAGTCGAAAAAGGACGCCGGCATTGCATCTGCATTGCAATCATTGCGATCCATAATCTTGGAATATCTTCGAACAAAAACGGACAAATTTTTCCGCGGCGATGCTTCAAGTTTTGGATGGTCATGAGTGATGGCAGACTAGGGCTCCTAGGCATCCTGCTAGGACCATCTGTGATCACCGCTTTGTTCAGGAGTTTTGCATCAGCAAGTGTGTGGTTGCGGACCAGTGTGCATATATCAATGCTGAGGCCTCTGTGGGCGCATGTCAATCCAGCAAGTGATCTTTTTTTATCAGAGCAAAGACTTGGGCAAACCGGGCACGACAATCTGAAATTGTTTGAACAATGCAGGGTAATTCTTGGATCAGATTGCATCAGGTGCTTGCAAGATACTGATATCTGAGTTTCTGCAGAGACAGTGAACACCATTGGCCCACAACACTTGGTGAGTGTCATGTGCTTCATGGCAACAGGCACCCGTTCCTGACGAAAAGCTTGGCTCTTGCCGCGGGCCTATAGTGCCAGGTTGCGAGGAACATAGCTTGGATGGCACTGTGGCTCGGCAGGCACATCTCAGATTGTGACTTTGCTACCCGTTTTGGGTGCAGTTGGATTGATTTGGTTCAACAAGCACCTGGGGTGTCATGAGACTTGGGAGGGGGAGTCTCAGCTTGGTTTCAAACTGTAGAAGCTGGGGGGCAGAGGACACCTGTCTTCGGTGCGGTGCCTTCCGCGTCTTGGAAAATGGGCTGCTTGGATTGGAAGTGCTGTGTCGAACATTCAAGCTGAGGCAGTGCAGAGTTCCATTACCAAATAAGTGCGAACATGTTCAAACCGTTTCAATCAGCTTAAACCATGACTTTTTGCTCCAAGACCAATTGGTTCAGAATGCATAGAGTGATAAAGGTATATATATATACATAAGATCTTGAGCATGCCGCCTTAGATTCTCTGTAATTAATCATTGTAATCTATGCACGTCTAGGCGATGCATTGTAGCATGGCCGCCGCCAATGTTAGGAAGTGCCACCTTTATTACAAGAAGACAGCCTATGGAGTTCTTGCACTTCTGGTCGTAGTGGTGCTCGTGCTTCTCTGGTAGCATGGCTGCACCTTGCGCCAAAGGATGCCAAAGGTTACAGGCTTGACCTCTTCCAGTCGCCAAATTTCGCCCTCCATGCTCAGGATTCTTGGAGATCTGATGCTGCGGCCTGCGACCAATGAAACAAACTTGGAGGCAAGGCTAAGAAAGTAGGCAGTGCCACTGGCAGAAATTCGATGGTCGGTTTGACATTCAAGTCATGACTTGTAAAAGCTTTCGATTAGGATGCGCTCAACTATCGATCCAAGCAGAAGTTTCGCAAGCCGGACTCCGATGGAACCGGCCGTTTCCTGGATAACACAACCAGCATCAACCAGCTATGACCAGCTCAAATAGGTCTGCGGAAGCCAGCGACCATCGAGTGGCAGTAATTTTGCACCAACCCGAGGTCATTTGTATGCATTGTCCACCAACCTTTGCAACACAATCATCGGTGGACCTGGTCTCGCTCTCCACTTCCGTTTTCAGGCCAGTCCGGGGGCAAGTATCATCAATCCAACGGCTGCTGTATTTGATATTTAAGTTGAACATGCACGTGTTTTTCCAGAATATAATATATAACTTAGCGCATAATATTATGTGTCTATATATATAATATAAACATTTGCACTGCATATATTACATAGCGTAATTATGTATATTATTGTATTACGCAGATTTATACATAATTATATGCAATTATGTAATTATATACAATATAAATAACATGTAATAATATTGCGTAATTATATACTATGAGATACATATGGGTTGGACAATCTGTGCGTGTGGTTGAGTTTTGCCCCCGGTCACGTCCAGTCACCCATCCTGAGATCAGGCGGTTTTGATTTGCTGGGCTGCTGTAGTTGCAGCAAGCTGCTTGGCACAGAGTGTCAGCAGTCGAAACTCGTCCACGGATATGAACAAAGCATAGAAAGGTAGACACACTTGTACCGTTGCACCGGTAGAGAGGCCACCAGTGATGGAAGTTTGATGTTGGATGCCGACCAAGACTAGGTTGGGTGTTGCTCGCCCTCCTGACGGATTATGATTTATTGGTTTTGGGCACCAAAGAATTTGGTACCGTGCCATGTCTGCAATTTTGCTCGCGTGGCTTGCGAACAAATTGTTGAACAGTTTGTTCATGCTTGAGCCGCTTGAGCCTTTGATGAGCTTACCGGTTGTCTCCTGCTACACACTAAGGCGTTTCGGAACTGTGTTCTGGTTGCGTGGGGCCGGTCGACTCAACGAAGGCTCCAACGGAATCTTGCTGCGCATGGCAAGTGGTCAGAGAATGTCCTATACTAGTAGATGTCAAAGCAGATGTCAACTTTCAAGAGTTTGCATGCAAATTGCCAGGCTGATGTTCGTCAAGGAGAGTTTTGTGATCATCGTCTATATTTTTTCCGTTGTTGGCAGCATAATTTTTGGAATTCAACAGCTTAGATTTTACCAGCAGCTGGACGAACAAAATGATGCCAGGCTGCATTTTTTCGAGTTCGTGTGGCCAAGCCGTCATTTAATTTTGTTGAGATACTCCGATCCGGATGTATCAAAGAATCATGTTGTTTCAACCTTGCAAGTGAGCCGAGGACACAATGAAGGACTATGCGGTGATTATTTCCGATTTGCCAAGTTTAGCTGGAACCGAACCGGTTGAACAAGAGCTCAAGGAGAGCATGAGCAATTCGAGCTGATTTTGGCAAAGTACATTCAAACAGGGTGTGGGCCGGGAGGGAGCTTTCCGATGCTTCCTGTTTTCTTTGAAGCGATTGACATGATTGACGACCTGGGAAGCGAGGGCGATAGGCTTGGGGATGGGGCGCGTTTGGCCAAAGAAGTGAGCGGACTACGAGTGACACATTGTGACACTGAACATATACTGATATATACTGAACATATTGAACCCATTAAAACATATTAAAACCCCCTTCAGCATCCTTCAGCCAAGACCAAACCTTTGCAGGAGTGCTTGGAGACGAGCACCTCACAAACTGTCGTTGGCGTGTCTATTTGTTGGGCCTACAGGGAGCAAAAGGACAGGCACCGTGCTGCTGCTCACAGCATCCACAGTAATCAATCACACGGAATTATTCCGATATCAATTATTGCACACATGCATATTACACTTGATTTGCATCAGCTTGCGCCAACTAAACGGAATGAATGGGTCGAATGAGTTTAATGATGGTTTGAAATCCCTTGCCTACATTCACCACTCATAGGTTTGAATCTGCTTGTAGGACACAATTCATGTTGAGATGATGAAGTCGCTGCACAAGCAGCAAGGCCCACATGAATTGAATTACCCTGGGGCAAACTAACATAGATGTGCAAAATCACCATTTTGACTGGGAACCCTCTTGTACTTGTCACGTCTATATGCGATTGTGTGTATTGCACCATGTTTGCTGCAGCATTCGGCTGTTCATCCATAATTCGATGTAACAAGCGCAAAGGTCAGAGAGTCACGCACTTCCAGCAGCCAGTTGAGGACAGACTTAACGGATCTGAAGGGATCAGTGCGGAATGTGATCAGCGATGCTGCTTTGCACTGCGGTAAAGTCTGAGGAGATGGGGCCGTTCAGGCGGAGGCTCTTCGAGATTGAGAAGATGATTCTCTCAGAGGCAGTTAGGGGGACCTGAAGAGAACCTCCATCTCTGGGAATCTGCGGACCGCGGTTCGAGTTCTTTGTTCGAATGATTTTCAGATTGCAAGATCATGCAAGATCATGGTCAGGTCACACGCACTTAGCCTGGAAATGGATAGCAGTAGAAACCCACACACACAGATCTTAGCAATCCTTAGCATTTGGATTCACGCTACTTTGGCAGGGCGAAGAGCAAGAAGTATCAGAAGCTGCAACGGCCTCAGTAATGGGACACGAACAACTATATAATGGATTCTCCGGAGCGAGCAGCGAGCACATGGTTGAGAAGCCACCCTTTGGGGCTTTGGGCTTGCCATAGTCTGCAGTATGGTGCTTTAGACTACTAGCACTGGATCCCGCAGCTGGATATTTTGTTCCGCACCATATTCAGCCATAATATGGGCCATGTTCATACAAATCCGAAAAGCTGAACAACCACATACAACCACAAAGACTGAACCATCTGGACCATGCACAATCGGGCTTGCTATATTATACGGACATATAAGGAATTATACGAACTTGCATTTCAGAAATATCTGACATACATTCATACATTGAGAATGGCCTGTTCGGCGAGGAGCTGAAAGAGTTGGTCCAATCCATCAGGCCACGGAACATCAGAGATTTCAAATAATTTCAAATAATTTCAATCACTTGGCAGCCAAGCCCACTGGAACTACACAGCCGCATGCAATTTCATGTAGTTTCTGAAACATATTCTTGATTCTTGATAATTCGTGGGAAGACGTGCCAAGACGCATTTCAACACAATTTTATTGCGTCTTGGATCTTGCGGATTCTTAGTGAGTTCCTCACGTTTGAAAGGAGCAGTTCAATGGCCTTTGCAGTGTTCGACACTGAGCAGGCAAGAGACGAGGCCAGGATATGCCAGGATTACGCATGATTATATACACTCTGCTGACCCAGAATGTAAATGCAGTTGATGCTCTTGCAGCTAGACAACCCTCAAACTTTAACAATCTTTGACGAGCAGACTAATAAAGCAATCAGCGATGGAAGAGTCACCGAAAGATCCGAAAGGGTGTTTACTGAGATTTTCATCCCATGTTATTTGGTTGCAATTCTTGCTGGCCCCAACCCAGGCTCCCACCATGTAGTCGCTTATTTGTCCATGCAGATTTGCGGCTTTTCATGGCTTTCGGCTTTCCTATGTTTCAGGCTGTCCAGCTTCTATCCAATGGATTGATCTTCCGCGACCACACGGTCAGAGTCAAAGCAGCCACCCTTGAGCCGCATGGAGAACCTCGGACCAATCAGTTGCTGCCATCGCTGATCCATTGGGGCCAGGCATGGCCAGGTGGGCGATAGCCACAGGTACATTGGAACAACATCGACGGCACAGGTTTCAATGGAAAGCTTTGGAGGTGAGATGTGCGACGTTGAATGATCGTTGAATATTGGAATGTAGTCAGCTCGATTGATCAGATATTGACCGTATGGTTCATTCAACTCAACTGCTTTTGAGATTTATTTATGTTTCTATATGTGTTTCCTGTAGGCTGGCCAAAGGGTTTGTGTACATCGTGCTGTGCCTTTTCCTTTGGATGCTCATTTTCTACACTCCATATGCGGCTTGACTTCTCATAGAATGATGGAAAGAGCAGCAACAGGATCAGTGGATCATTCATAACCTATCGGAACTATTGCCTTTTGGAAGAAGTTTCCGAGGCATGGGCGATCTTGAAATTCAACTATGAAGGAGGCCGACAGCCAGGTGTGGCCTCCAGGTTGCATTAGCCTTTTTGATCTTTTTGGCATTAGATTTTTATGGATGTTCATATATGTTTATGTTCATTATTCAATCCATTGAATTAATGCATTGGCACAATCTGCATCAATCTGCATCAATCTGCAGCAGCCAAGATTTACACGTTGATCTTTTCCGTTATCGTCTGCGTTGGTAATCTTCTTATGGCTGAAATCTGCGGCAGAGTGGCCGATGCGATTGGCTTTGATTCCTGGCTGAACAGGGACCGATCGAAAATCACCGTCCAAGAAGCTGAACTGGTTCATGATCACACATCATCACCAAACTCACGCAACAGACTGGGAAATTTAGGACATCAAAATTCTGAACGAGGTTTCTTAGAACTTATTGTGAATCATTTTGAGTTCAGAATGGTGATTCCAGCAAACAATGGCCGAGCAAGCTGAGGAATTCAAAGACACCAGGGAGAACTGTTGCTGGCCTGACTCGAGCTTTATTTCGGCATGTGCCAGGGAATCCACTTGGATGTCCTTGATCAATGACTTGCACGAGATTTTACAAGTGCATGTCTGCTTTCTCGCCCGCCACTTCAGAGGCTACATGGTATTGTACCTTACAGCAATTGTCCCTTGCCTCACATGTGTGATTTGAGAAAGAGGTCGCTTTATGATTTGAGGTATGCGGCTTGTGTGTGAGTGATGCCCTGATTGATACAATTTACTACGCAGCTCCCAGGCCCTAAACGTTGGCTTGGATCTTTGGACAACCTATTTTATGGCAACACAGTGTCTTTCCAGCAAGATGCGACATGCTCCATTCCATCTGTTTCAAACACTGATAACTTCGGAAGGGTTTTACACTCAGCGTTGGCTCATTTGTACTCATTTGTGCTGATCTCCAACTCCGCGCGTTGAAGAATTTCCTGGCCCAAGATTTTCCACAAGCACAACACTTACTGTATTTGTCTTCATCATCTGGCTTCCTTACACCACAACAGAGTTCTTTCACACACCAGATTGATTGTTTGGCATGTCTGATGAAGGTACCGGGTGCTGAAACAACAGGGCAATGCTCTAGAGTCTCTAGAGTTCCTATATGATCCTATTCTGATATATACTGATCCTATATGCCTCCAGGGCGCCTATCCTCGGCAAGCGTAGCTTCGAAACGCCGATTGTCGTTTTGCGCTTTCTTCGCCATGGATTCGATGGCCCATGCAGCCAGTGCAGTCGTCCGGCACTCCACCATGGTGATCGGTGCGGCAGCAGATGAGCTTGCTCGACAGGACGGGTGTTTAAAAAAGAGACATGATTGGGGCATTATTGGGGCAATGCAATGCTGATATAACTATGACATAACTGACACATAACTGACACATAACTGACACATAACTGACACATAACTGACACATAACTGACATAGGCCAATATTATCCAATATTCTTTTTTGTTTTTTTTTGCTTTTTATGCCATGGCGACTCTTATGGCTTCCACCTCTAGCATGTTTGTGACTCAGGCTAATGCAGTCGCGCAGATTACCAGCGAGTCGGATCCAATTGCATGGATCACAGGCAGGGTATGGGCTTGCTTGTGCGGAAAAAAAATAAATTAACCGCCTATGCGTATGAAGTGTCTCAATGTGAACCCCGGGTCGTAATGCTGTTGAGGACTCCAACCATTAGTCTGTGGTGTGTGCCTAAAGACTTGCGAAATGCTCAGCTGTGTTTATAATCTCGTGGTTGCGGGAATTTTGTACTCTTTCTTTTGCAAGGATGCTTTCGTGATCAGCTCAACCACGCAGGTGAAGATGATGATTATGTCATGCCTGACTTTGCACCGTTACCGCCACCCTTGCCAATTCCATTAGCTGCTTTGACGCCTTGGGGTGCTTGGGGAAGCAGTACCAGCAGCTCTCATCGTAGCATGGCAGCACTTTATGAGGATGGGAATTCTGGATATTCTAGGGGCACACTCATGATCACTCTGTTTAGAGCGGTAAATTCCTGACTCTGCGCAATCGCATCAGGTCCTTTTGCAGTGGATCCGGAGGTCAACGTGAAACTGATCCTTTGGCAGGGAGATATTTGCAGCCTCGAGGCCACGGACATGCTGTGAAATCATGGGAAATCCAGCACAACATGCATTCAGATCCATTTTGCTAATAAGATGTATCTGTATACCCTCTGGTAAACGTTTACATAACTATGGAAAATCACCATTTTTAATGGGAAAATCCACTATAAATAGCCATTTTCAATAGCTATGTTAAATTACCAGAGGGTAATGGCATACTGTAATGAGTAACATAACCCGTCCTACAGGTTGATGCTCTGCTGGCTCCAGTTGCTGCTGGCTACGTTCCCGGATGCAGCACAGTCTTTGGGCGCATGCTTCAGCATGGGGGACAGGACAGGTTGTGATTATGCATGTTTTTGCATGTTTTTGCTCATTACAGTGCAGATAAAAAGAGAAGAGCACTCCCCAACTCCCCTAAATGATGAGATAGTGGTAGTATCTGGTAGTAACATGTAGTAACTGCTTGGTGATTTCAGTTGATTTTTTGTGCTCCATCCTGGGATGATCCCAACTGACCGTTGGGTGAGTAGAAACATGTTGTCATGTCATCAGGACCTCATGGAGGAGCTGCGGCATTTGGACAGCTGTCGCAGCGGTGAGGCTCGCAGTTGTAAGTCTTATGGCATGCCTTGCCAACGGCTGCTCCTCACAGTGGGCCCAAAGTACAAGGACCTGACATTTCAAGCAATGCCAATGCCAAGCCATTTTCAATTGTTCCGGATTGATTTCCTATGATTTCATAAACGTTGGCCTTGAGAGGTTTTGAGAGGCCTCAAGAATTCTTAGGAACCTTAGGAATCTTAGGAGATTCATGGGAAAGGATGTTACAAATCGTTGCAATGTTCATGCCACACGGCCTCCTATCTCACAGTCGTCGCCAGGAGAAGTACCAGGTGGCGGCGCAAAACACGCTGAACGCTTGCTATCGAGAATGCATGCAGCTGCTTGCAGAGTCGGGGCTTAAAACGGTGGCCATACCGTGCTTCTGGTACAGCAAAGGTTTCCCTTTAGATGAGCAGGTTCATGTTGCACTGCGGACCTTGAGGCGCTGCATCGAAAAGCTTTATGCTTCAATCGATGCGGTCGTGCTAGTTGCAGGAAATGCAGCCGAGCTTGAGCTCTTTGAAAGTTTATTACCTTTGTATTTCCCAAGAACCGACCATGAAGCCATGCATGCCTCATCCGTACTCCCCGAAAGTTGCTGGAACGAGTGGGGTGAAGTCAGCATGGAAGAGCGGCGCATTCGTGTGTCCCAACACTTGATCTCCGAACAAGAAGACTGCGAGGACAGTGATCTGTGGTTCGGAGGTGACGATGATAAGTCCTTCCTCCATGCTCGTGATGATGCTGATTTTGCTGCTATGAAACGCTTAGAGGGCACCATGATCAATGCTAGCAGCATTGAGGAGGCAGGTCACATTTGCCTTCGATATCTGCGAAGAGCTCGAGAGATCCAGAGCCTCAGCGAGCCATCTCGCTTCGTGTACCAGAGTGGGCAAGACTGCTTTGGTCGCCACGTGGTGATATTGCTGGGAGCTCGCTTGCCACCTTTGGGCCTTCAGGATGAGAGGACTATACCTCTCTTTGTCAAGGAGCTTGAGGCTTTGCAGCGTGAGAAGTTCCTCCTCCTCTATGTGAACAGTGAAGTGGACAACACGGACACATCGATTTTGGAAGTTCTGCAAGAGATGCTTGCAGTCATCCAAGCGAAGTTTCGAAATTCCTTGGCGCAGCTCCTAGTGCTACATCCAGGCTTCATGTTCCGGGCAGCCTTTGCACTTGGCAGAGCAATCACTGAGGAGGCTGCAAGTGTTTGGCATGACAGTGTTTATTTGGAGTCCATTGCAGATTTGGCTTCAGTGCTCAATGCGAGCCGGCTGTACTTGCCAGACTTCGTGCGGTACAGTGAGCAGCAATGAGCTGCACGGTTGCCATACGCATTTGCAAGCCCGATAGGCGTTTCACCTTTTAGGAGAGGGTCCATAAGGGTCGGCGGGACAGTCAAACCAAAACGCACGGGATAATAAGCACCATGCACGGATCGTCATAGGTCATAGCTAGCATGTAGCTCTACAATTGCTCCAGAGTCCATTGCTTTCAACAAATGATGTTCACCTGAGTTCAAGATCCCAGGATCATGGTGGGAATGGACTTTCGAACGGTCCAGGCCTGAGTTGATGGAGCGTCTTCAATCTGGGCCGACCAAAGCAATCCCGCTGTCGAATGCCCGCCTTTCCAAGCCCGCTTTGGGAAGATGAGATGACTTCCACATGGCTACATGTGACATCATGTGACTACTTTCTATAGAATGAAATACGTGCCCTCCCGCCTGGTAGGGTGCGGCATCCGGTAAATCCCATTCAATTTGAGGTACCAGTAGATCTCTCAGGCTGAAAGGGTACCTCCAGATGCCTTGTGTCTTTATGCAGTGCCTGAAGAGAACGCTCTGCAGCGCCATCTTGCTAGATCTTGCTAGCCCTTGGTACAGTAGTCCGTGTGCTCCACCTTGTGCGAATGAACAAACTTGGGCCGTTGCCAAGGAAGACGGTATTTTGCTCGCTGATGTTGACAGCTTTGTGCAAAAGTTCGAGAGCTATGCCCTGCAAAGATCAATGGGGCAGCAGCTGATCGAGTACGCGCAACCTGCCAAGCAAGTCAACATGTAGCTGGAGCATGGCGGAGTATGCCAGAGTCAACTTGCAAACGCTGACTGACGCACACCTGTCGAAATCTGCCGCGGAACCAAGCTTGATTGTCCGAAATGTGTCCTCCACCAGTTCTATTTCTTTCTGTTTCTCCCTTCTCGATACTGGAATCTCTGATGATTTCTGATGATTTCTGCTGATTTCTGATAATGTGATAGCCTCACTCTTCTCCACTCTTCTTTTGGTGAGCTTTTTGAGATTTTTTAAGGTTCCAAGGAATCGGAACAAAGCGATCCTCTGAGGTGGCCGTGTACTTTCATTGTACCGTTCTTGGCAGAGCCTTGTGCAGTGATCTTCCTGTTCTCCCGGATTTTCATGCCGCTGAGCTTTGCAGTAGATTTTGGACAATTTTCGACAATGATATGGTGAACATGTGGTGAAGATATTTGATGATTGATGATGTTTGAACATGTTTGAACCATGTTGAACTTTTCTATTGATTCTGTTTGGGATGTTTTGGGAAGTGGCAAGACGCTGACTTGCCATTTCAGTTCGTTTCTTGGGCTCACCTATTGTTGATGATGGCTGTGCGGGTGCGTGTATTACTGTATCTTTTTGTCTTATTTTGTGATCTTCCACGAGGATGTTTTTGGGTTGTGACTCTTACGTGAAAAAATCAGTCCACACTGATCCTTGCGATACATCCTCCCTTTCGACATCTTTACGTAGACATCTTTAGACAAGTGTTTTCTTCAATTGGGCGAGATAGGCATCAAGAACCTTAGGCTCCTGGTGGGCAGTCATCCGGAGCTGAAAGTCTGGGAATGCCGGAACTGGCTGGCAGCCCTAGATCTGGAACTTGGGCGCTATGCAGCAGCTTGGACACAGTATGCCATCACAGCTTTGACAAAAGCGTGTGCTAAGATTCTAATCTACCCATATCTACCCACTTGACAGATCTTTACAGATCCCATTCAGACATATTCAGACCATTCTGGTAAGGATTGCTTGGTGAATGTCTACCTTGCAACCATGGTGTTCGGAGCTGAGCCAGCATGATTGAAGATTCTGAAGCATAAGATAGCATAAGCATCATGCAATACGCCTGTGATGCTGAACAGCATAGAACAGCCAAATATGTCGATCCTTCAGGTTTCTGTTTCCGGGTGGCTACACTCAATGGATCTTCTTCTATCTTGCTGTGTCTCATATCTATATTTATGCCGGAGCCTTAGGCTGTTGGATTTCAGTGGTATAATTCACTGTCCGGCAAGGCTAAAGTTGGTTGCTTCACAAGGTATATGACCACTACCGAGTGCTTCGGGTGGTGCCAAGAGCTACCTTCAGCTCCATGAACATCGACTTCTGTGCACAGGTTGGCGCGGACAGATTTTCTCCCCAAACTGCGTGGCCACTATATATGAGGGATTGAAATGGATTGAATGGATATGAAGGGTTCTGATGGGAGGTGCAAGCGCTGGATGTGGGGCTCTGCACTTGATGTGTAGGGTGTACGTGTGTTTGCAGGGGTTTTAGCTGCTGAGGCTCACACAAAAAACGTCTCCCCAGAATCCTTTACTGTAAAAGATTTTAAAAGGCTTTGAAGCTGTGCATCTCAAAGTGCATGGCAGGGGCAAGATGCGTATGTATGTTCAAACCGTTGTAATCACGCTGCGGTTAAAGGAATCAATTCTAGCAACTTTTTGGAAGATTGGAGGATGTGTTGGGATACATTGTGAGAGGGGTTGGATTTTCCTAGATTTGGTGCATGGATGTACATGTTCTTTTCTTCATGGCAGGAGCCTGCCGTGCTTTTGAAGCCTCTTATTTCATGTGCCCCAAATCTGAGCAAAACTTAGTTCGAAGAGCCTTAAAGTTGGGGCAGCATGTGTGCAAGTAGCTCTTACGCAGATCGTGTGAAAGAGATTTGGCGAGGAGATCTTGAAAAGATCACACAGAGATTCTGTGCAGAGACCTTAGCAGTAGTCTTACAAAGATCTTGTATTCGCATTTTGCGCAGAGATGTTGAAGGATGTTGCACGGAGCCTGAAGAAATCTGGTGCAGAAATAATGTCGCGGAAACCCCGGAGGGATCTTGCAGAGATTTGGGATAGCTCTTGCAGAGAGCCAAAGAACCCCTGTCGGAACATGTCGCGTAAATTTTGCGGAGACTTTGCGGAGATGTGGGAAGAACCTTGTGGGGAGATGTTGGAGGGGTCCTGGCTCAGAGAAAGATTTCTTACAGCCGCCCTATTGCGATCTCCTACAGATCCTGAGAGACCTTGGTTAGAGATCTTACATGATCTTACATGATCTTTGATGATCTTTTTATAGACATCTTGCAACGCTGCTGAGGAAATTCTTGTATGAGGATCTTGCAGCGAACCCAAAGGGAATTCGGAATGTGTGCAGAGATTTTTCACTTCACAAATGAGAGCCCAACGATTTTCCCCACATTTGGGATCTCTCACTGGGATAGTCTTGGAATGCGCAGCGTCATAAACCTTTTTATGTAGGGACTTTGATGGGGGTTCAATGCTTGTGCCTCTTCATGCAAAATGCATGTGAAAAGCTGCGAATGCTTTCGCAAACGCTTCCGCGAACGCTTTCACAAATGCCCCGTGTAGATGCCCTTCCCACGCAAAGGTCTGAGAAAACTTCAAAGGGTTAGTTTGCAAAGGCAAACTGGTGATCGCAGAAGCCCTGCTAAAGGTACGGCGAAAGGTTAAGCGGATCACGAGGGATTTTCAGACAGGTTTTAACACTGCAGTCTGAACCGACTCTGAACTCTCTCTGAAGCGTAGTTCCACTTCTTTCCCACCAACACGGTTCAGTGTTGCTGTTCAGGCGCTCCTCGCACCTGCCTGTGGAATTTTGCTCCTTGCTTTGCAATAGCTTAGAGTTTTTGTCATCCATCAGTGCGATGCAGAATTGCTCGGATGGTGTTTGTTCAAAAGTGCTCCCGCGAAGGTTGGTGGCAATCATTTTCAAGGGAAATTGCATGGCAGGCTCTTATTGATGCTTGGCAAGGAGATCGAAGGAGATTGTTTGATTTGTGATTTGTTTGTCATTCTTCGTTTTTGCTCGTCTGACATGTTCCGCATGGGGAATGTTCGCGCTCGCAGAGCCGGTGCAAATCGCATATCTTAGGTCTTGATGCAGCCCCCCTACTGAGCACATGTTTCTTTGCGTTCCTGGCTCATTGTGCAGCCTGGTTGCAGCTGTCATTAAACATCATTAAACTATATATGTTCGCTGAGTTTGACGTTGCCAACATGGGTAGGATAATGCCAGAAACGGGATGATATGGGGTTAATTACATTTAATTACTGTGTCACACTGTGCCCTGAGGCCATCCACATATTTCTTCTCTCGTGCCTTGTGCCCCTCTTTGGACTCAGAGAGAAGGGATATAGAAAAGATGCGAAGAACCGTGGCAGCATGGGTTCCCGAGGCTTCAAGGCACCACAAACATCACAAAGCAATACCAAGCACCCAAAGAGCTCTTACTGTAACACTTTGAATCAACCTAATATAGTAGGATTTTCATGGATTTTCATTTATTACACACTTTGCATTGGCCAAAGTGATCAACCATTTGATCACGATATCATGATACCCCTGAAAGCAAACAGATGCAACGGAACAATTGCACCACAAACTTCCAGGCATAGTAATCTCATCCTTTTGATCAATCCACTCTTCACTCACGTTCCGCGCATAGTCACGCAAATCTATGTACATTTGCTATGTGACACATATGTGCGTTTGCTATCTCAGTCATAGGCGCACATAGTGATATGTGTGCCCCTTCAAATTTCCCTATTGATCGGGTTTGCTCTCCACATGACCGTTTGATAATTGCTCATCATGACTGCATGACAATACATGACAATACATTTTGACTGGCCCTTCAAGCGCTTTCCTCAAGTCTATGGCATCGTTTGCAAAAGTTCCCTGTGCTTCTGAGGAAATACAGCGAAGTTGCAGCTTCGGAACCATGCAGCTGGTTTCTGGGTGGTGGTTTTTGGAGTGGGTCAAGCAGCTGGTGATGTCTACAGAAACATCGTTAGTATTAAAGATCATCATGATGAGGCACTTCATGAACCAATTATGAAACACAGACTGATTAAACGCATTCAAATAAATTGAGTCAACAATTCCATCGAAGCTTCACATCCCTTCGTGCTGTACCCATTTGCGGTAGTGAGCAGCGTAGCGCCCGTAGCGCCAAGTTTTTGCCGAGGTTCTCCGCCAATCCCATACACTGCCTCAGGTCCAAGTTTGTGCCACGCCTAGATTTTGATTGGGAGTGCGATTGAATGCGGTTGATTGTGTGTTGACTGTTTGACTGGTGTATTGATGTGTAACAGCACTGGATTCTGAGGTGTTTAACCATTCGCCACCGTGCAGCTATTTTATGGCTGGTCTTGAGAGTAAGATGGAGGCCTGACATGTCAAGATTTCTTATTTCGTCACTCGTAGTTTCTGCACGGTGAAGCGTTGAGAAACTGTGCTCTTTGTAACCACCGTCCTGGTACCAACGCATGCACGAGTGAGTGACTTTGTTCCTTGGTCCTCTCCTGGAGGTCAATGAGAGTATTGGATGCTTCTTCAAAGAGAATGCCGCGGTTGTAGAAGACGTACCTTGGACATCCTTGGGCTAGACTAAACTGACACATCTGACGTGTGGAATGCGGCTGAACTCATTTTTGGACACAGCTGTGCCACTTTTGTACTCTGAGCTGCAGTCATTTCATGAATCTTCATGAGGCTCGAAGCTACTACATGCCAAAATGGAGAGATGTGAATACATTCTTGAGGAAGTGGCTGGTTTGAAACGCGAGCGAAGCCAGAATGGAATCACGGAAAATGTGCTGTGAAACGCATCAAGATTATCCAGTTCACTTGCGCTTGTTAATTGAGGTCAACAGGTCTCCTGTCAGAAGCAGACGAAAGCACCATGGGAGATACAGGAGATATTGAATTGCCATGACTTGACTTTACAGTGTGGTTGCATTTGCTTTTGCTTGATGTATTTCGCTATTTGTGCTGTCATTTTGTTCGCCGTTCGCGGGAAGTTTCTGACCAGGAGCCACACAGTCTGGTTGAACTATTGCCAGACTCGAAGTGAAAAGAGAAGTGAAGCTGTGCAAGTTTCAACGTTATCATATCATTTCTGTTCATGGTTCCTTGCTAATTACTTACAGTTTCAGGATTTTTTTAATGAACATCTTTATTCCATGTTATGCCATGTGTTGTGCCATGTTATGCCCTTAAATCGTTCATTGATGATTCAAGCATCCTGGGCATGGAAGCTTGGTTTGGGCCTTGCACTTGCGCATATTTGCGCCAAACATCACCGGCTCAGAAGCTGCCGTGGGTCCCAAGCCCTGTGTCCGCGTAGCGCTGCCACCATGTGGCAGCAAAATCGAAAGGTCCAGATGAACATGGCGGAGCTGCTTGGCATCAATTGGCATCAATTTGATTGCCATATTCTGAGAGATTCTGAGAGCATGGAACAAATTGAGAAAAGCTTTGATGCGCATGGCTCGGACGGGAGGGTCGGCATATCATGGCATACTGATTGTGACTGAGTTTTTCTCCTGAGGTTTGATTTGCCATGCACAAGGCCCATGAATCAGATACGTGGCTTCGAGACGGATACAAAGGACAGGTCGTCATAAATGCCTGCGATTGGATATTGTATTTGCATCCCATGTAAAACATAGCTGTATTATAGTAACATGCTGACTAGCATTGCGGCTCAGGACAAAAGGCGTGAGTCGCTAGCTTAACGGTTGTTTTGTTTCCCCGTTCATAGGTTTATCAGTCTATTTGGGATTATAGTAATAACCCAGCTGAAACCTGAAAATACAGGTTATCAGCCGTAGTCTCTAAAGCCATGGAACGGACAACTGGAGACGCCTCAGGTGGAGGTGCCCTTGTCCCTGCTTCAGGAACGTCGGCGACTGCATCAACTGGTTCTCAGCAAAGCTCGCCGGCTGGGACAAACCCCACGCCCATGTCGGTGGATGAAGGTTTCTTCACACAGCCCGTGCAAGCCTATTTCCAGTTCGTGCAAAACAATCTTACCTACATCAACGAAGGTAACATTGACGCTTTCAGGCAAGAGGCAGAGGAGAGGCACACACATCTCATGGAACAAAAGGTCCAGCAACTGTACCAAGAGTTTGAGGGAATTTGCCTTAGCGAAATCGCCCATCAACGTGCAGAAGCTGACCGCAGACATGAGCACCTAGTGTCAGAGTATTCAATGTCCCAAACGGCAACTGAGCATGAGGTAGCAAAACTGAGACAGGAACTTAGCGATGCAAACGCAAAGCTGAAGAATGCTGCAAATGCAGTTGCACTGGAAGCTGAACAAAGAGCCAACCAAAAGGTAGCCCACGTTACAGCCCAGTACGAACAAAGGTTTTCTGAACTCAGAGGTAGCCTCGAGGCAGACTGTAAACGAATCGTGGATGAAACAGTAGAGTATGCAAAGAATGGCATGGAAGGTTTCAAGAAGGAGGAACAAGCTGTAATCCAGGAGATTAGAGAGGAATGCAGTAGGCAGGAAAACCAAGCTGCTGAACTCAACTTCCAATTGCAGGGACAAGTGGAGGATTTGATGGAGAAGCTCAACAAGTACAGCGCCGCGGAAATCGATGTCGACAGAGCCGTTGAAGTTGATGATTCACAAGGCGGGAACAATGTCGATTTGTACATGACCCCAAAATCAGCGGTCGGTACTAAGGCTGGAGCAGAACCCATGCCAAACACTGGTATGAGTAGCTTAGCCATGGACGCCAAGGAAAGGTTGAGCAACTTGTTCTCAACAACCCCTGCCGGATCAGCAGCCCCTCCAAAACTGCCACCATTGCCAGTTCAAAGACAAAATGATGATGATGCAAACCAAGAACATAGTGTGCCCAGTCCTACAGTAATAGCAAGCGACCCTGGCAAGAAAGCGGCTGAGGCAGGCTTAGGTCTTTCAGGTCAACAATTGCTAGATCTCATCACCAGACTGACTTCAAAGGATTCAGATGGTGAAAAGCCCCGAACGAAAGAGGCAGAGACTATCAAACTGAACGACATGCCTGCCCCAGCAGCATATCGTCACTGGCGTAATCATGTCAGGGATGAAGTCAAGTCGTGCTCTGACAAACCCGATGAGGCTTGGCTTTGGCTCAATGAAGTCTTTGACAACAAAACCCCTAGGGAAAAGTTGGAGGAAAAACTGCAGGAACCTGGGAAATTGATCACACTTGACACCAAATTGTCGGCAGCGTTAACTCGCTCGGCCAAAGGTGATTTAGCAACAAAGATCCATAACTTCAAAGATGAGAAGTCAAAGAAAGGGATCCAAGTCAGAGGTAGGAGAGTCCTTTTGATGTTTGAAGATTACTTCAGGACGTCTGAGGAAGCTGGCAGTCTCTACCGCGTCGAGGACCTACTTGGAGTCGTTCGCACTGGAGAATCTGTGGAGGACCTTAGAAGGTTTCTGAACCGATGGGACGCCACAATTGCCGGCATGGAAACCCCGCCAGATGATTTGGTTCTCAGAGACATCTTACTCAGACAAATCCGAAAATGTCAATTGATGAAGTATGACATCGAAGCATTTGACAGAGCTCCTGAAAAGTCAGAACAAAAGTCTTATGCATTCTTGTTGAGAAACATTCGTGATCTTTTGGATAGAGAAAGACTCCGTTCAAACAGAAACAGAATCGTTGAAAAGAACAAGCAGACCGAAAAGCCTCAGCCCGCTGCACCCGCTCAGGGGGGCAAAGATCGCGGCAAAGGAAAGGGCGACCGAGGTCGAACCCGTGGTTGTAGCCAGAGCGGAAAAGGGGATAAAATATGCTACAAGTTCAGGGATGGCAAGTGCGAAAAGGGTAAAGACTGTCCCTACAAGCATGTCAAAGATTCCTCAAGATCTGGTACCACCAAAAGGAAGGGTAAGGGCAAAGGTGGTAGCAGAAGTGGTTCCCCCAACAGAAAGTCGAAGGAAGAGATGGCCAAGATCCCATGCACTTACTTTCAACAGGGCAAATGTCGTCGTGGTGACAAGTGTTTTTACAAACATGAAGTTGCAGCTGCACCGACAAAGGATTCAAAACGCACCAATAGCCCTGCACCAAAGAAGAAGGCCAGTGCAAAAGCTGCGCCATGCATTACTCAAAGGTATGCATGCATAGCAAAGGGAAAAGGGTTGCCGAAAGCTACAAAGGCCATGAAAGAACAATGCCATAGAGCTATTGTGTTTTCATCAAAAGTGGAATACATCAAAGTCCCGGCAACAGGTGAACAGAGGAATGTAGTGCACAAACCCCGAATCTATGAGAAGACGTTCCCTGATTCAGAGTCAGTGCCAAAACCCGACAAACTCGTGGCTCACCGTGCTCAGGTTTCGGCCCGACAGTTGCAGGAACTTGTGAAGCTCTTCGGCAGTGAAACGCAGCCCAAATGCCGATTCCGATGCAATGACCCAGAAGGGGGAGTATCATGCAACCACTGTAGAGCAATGATCGGTCCCAAGAACAAAGTCAGTAACACTCATTTGCCCACTGTTGCTACACCGGCATCAAAAGATGGATGTGTTTGGTTGGTTGACACGGGCAGCGAACAGGATTTGATTAGTGAGGGTATGCTGAAGACTGCAAAGGCGACAAACCGCCGTGTCAGCGATGCCCCAATCAGCCTAGCTACAGCGAACGGTTCGACACGAGCGGATGAGGTGGCCGACGTAAAGGTCGATGCCCTACATCAGCCATTTTCACCATACATTCTCGAGGAAACTCCTGCTGTTCTTTCGGTTGGGGTCAGGTGTATGGAACAGGGTTACAGTTTCGTGTGGCCAGCTGATGGTAGGCCTTACTTCATTCGTCCGGACATGGGAGTCATTGAGCTTAACGTAGACGGTCGCGTGCCGGTTATTGATAGCTCTTGTCGTGTTTTGAACAGTGGACAGTTCAAGAAAGATTGTGATCTGTTACGTCTTTTTGCAATGGTTGCTGCAAAAGCAGAAGGTGCCGAGGAAGAAGGCGTGGATGAGGGAGTAGCTCATGATAGTGAAACCGAGTACGTCAAGTCTAGAAAGGCATCTGACCTGGAGCAAGAGGCATGCAGCAAATCTCACCAGTTTTGCCATTACCCCAAGAATCCATTTTGCAAAATCTGTCAGAAGGCGCGCATGATGGCGCCACCCGCAAAGAAGAAAGGGGGACAGAAAAGGTTGGAAACCAAAAGCTTTGGGGATCACATTGTCGCTGACCATACTGTAATCAAATCCAATGTGGCAGAAGGCGTCAAAGGTGAAACAGTGGCATTGGTGATGAAGGACATTCACACTCAGTTCAGACACGTCTATCCAAGTCAGACAAAATCGAGTGAGTCATGTGTCAATGCTTTCAACCACTTCTTATCTCACAAGGATGAAGTTGGGGCAGTTTACACTGACAATTCACGAGAACTTATTGCTACAATTTCAGAGTTGGGGTACAGACATCAAACATCAACAGAGTATGTGGACAGTTCAAAGTCGTTTGTGGAGAGGGAGATCAGGCACATGCTTGAAGGCACACGCACAAACCTCGTGCAGTCAGGTCTTCCATTGCAGTATTGGCCAATGGCTATGCAGCATTTCTCCATGGCAGTGAATGCCACGCCACAGCTCAACGGTGATGATGCCCCATGGAAACTCAGATTCGAAGAAGATTTTCCAGGTCAGTTGATTCCTTTCGGTGCAAAGATACTGTTTTGGAACAATCCAAAAAGGGTTGACAACACATCTGGAAAGACATCACCAACAGCAAATGATGGAATCTTTTTGG